TGGGAAATGAAGCATCCAGAAGAAAGATTAACAGCTTCAAAAAGGACTTAAATGTTGTTACTTGTATTACCTCAAGGCTACCACATGTAATGTTGGTGCCAAAATTAGCAAAAGTAGTTCTAATTGATTTTCAACTGCTTTCCTCTTGCCGCCTTTCCTCACAGATAAGTATGCTGTGAGATTCATCCCCAGGGAGAATGGCCTGTACCTGATAGATGTGAAATTCAATGGTTCTCACATCCCTGGAAGCCCCTTCAAGATCCGTGTTGGTGAAACTGGCCAGGCTGGAGACCCAGGAATGGTGTCTGCTTATGGAGCTGGTCTGGAAGGAGGCACCACTGGTACAATGCACTTTAGATATCATGTATAGTGTGATCTTTTATAGTTGTCAAAGTGTGCAGCTGAACTAAACTGACCGTACACCACCACCTTCTCAGGATCTCCATGTGAGTTCATTGTGAACACAAGTTCAGCTGGCCCAGGAGCTTTGGCAGTGACCATCGATGGGCCTTCCAAGGTGAAGATGGACTGTCAGGAATGCCCAGAGGGCTACAAGGTCACCTACACACCTATGGCACCTGGAAACTACCTAATTTCTATCAAATACGGTGGACCATACCATATTGTTGGCAGCCCGTTCAAAGCTAAAATTACAGGTATGAAAAAAAAAAAAGCTTTAGGTTCAATTACATACCATGGTTTATCTTGGTATATTTAAAAAATAAAACATTACTACTAGAACTTGTTGTTTTTGTCAAATTCAATGTTTTATCATGGTGTCTAATTTGTGGGGGACAGAAACTGTTGTCGTGTGTAATGTCAAATGTGTCTTTTGCAGGCTCCCGATTGGTCAATAGCCACAGCATGCACGAGACTTCATCAGTACTAGTTGACCCTGTGACCCGCAGTGTGACGACCAGCCAGCAGGCAGCGCCAGGCTGGGGCAGCTCCGACGCCAGCCGTGTAGTTGCCAAGGGTCTTGGACTCAACAAGGGCTTCATAGGACAGAAGAACACTTTCAGTGTGGACTGTAGTAAAGCAGGTATGAATTATCTAGAAATTGATTACTTTGAAACTGAACAATTGGCCATTCAGTCCTGGTTCCTGTTGATTGCAAGCATTTGACACTATATTTCTATCAATCTCCACAGGGAGGAACATGCTCCTGGTTGGAGTGGACGGACCCAAAGTGCCCTGCGAGGAGATCTTGGTGAAACACTTGGGTAACCGTCTCTATAATGTGTCCTACCAGCTGAAGGAGAAAGGAGAGTACATCCTGGTGGTGAAATGGGGCGACGAGCACATCGCCGGGAGCCCGTATCACATCACTGTTTAACTGCCCTCCACCAAAACCTCCAGTATCAAATACAGGAACACTGAAAACTCTCTTGTCCTTCTTCCTTTTTATGATCCTCTCATCCTGTATCTTCCTGCACCACTATTCAGCTTTCAAGCAAGAGAGGGATTTCAAAGAAGCACCTTGTCACTGTATGCCAGTCATTTTTGGATCCTGTTACATTTGCTGCATTCAGTAATCCTTTAAATCAGAGGGTCCTGGTGGCTTTTGCTCCGTGTTTGGTTTGTTGCTGATCTAGTCTCTAACACAGAGTAGCTGCTAGTATGTTTTGCCTGGTTTAGGAGACTGCTGTTCCAGTCATAACTGTACAGAGTAACCATTGCTAGTAGCAGGAGAAATACAGATGTGATTCAGCCGCTTGTTTAACACAAATTTTTCATTATACTTACCATTGGGTGAAGAGGCGCTTAAACATAGACTGTCACGTAGACTGAATTAGCACTGGTGCCGAAGCTCTGTGGGTCTGACCTTCTGTTTGAGTGTTTTGAATATTTTTCAGTCTGCAGAGCTGCATGTTGCTTCCGTTTGACCATGAAGACATTTTTGAAAATGTCATTTGGGTGCCATTTAAAACCAGGATTGTGTGCCAAGTGATTTAGCAATCAAAGGGAAGTTACATGGCAGAATAAAGATGATGTTGACCATGTCATTTGGCTGAAGGTGTAACGAAAGGGAGATTTTTGATGCATACTGCTTGAGTTTATTGTTGGTTATGTAAAACACACTTGGAAGTTGTAACATCTGGCAAAACGTCACTTATTTGCGCTCACTTTGTCAGCTCTTTAGCCCTTTGTGCTCCAATGTCAATGTATAATCAGTATTCCAGAATTTAAAAAAATAGTCTAAAAAAAAAAAATTAAAGTTTTGACATTTTGACAAAGTATTTTGATACCATGTCATTTGGCTGAAGGTGTAACGAAAGGGAGATTTTTGATGCATACTGCTTGAGTTTATTGTTGGTTATGTAAAACACACTTGGAAGTTGTAACATCTGGCAAAACGTCACTTATTTGCGCTCACTTTGTCAGTTCTTTAGCCCTTTGTGCTCCAATGTCAATGTATAATCAGTATTCCAGAATTTAAAAAAATAGTCTAAAAAAAAAAATTAAAGTTTTGACATTTTGACAAAGTATTTTGATACACAATAAAGTTGTCTTAACTATTTTTCTGTCAACCAACGTGTAAATGTTTTCATTTTCTTGTATATCTGTGATTTTGAACTCTTTTTGGAGTTTATCCATTTTTCATGAATGTGTTTTCATGGTTAAATTATTTTAATATGGGTTATGCATTTAAGGGAACTGTATATTGAAATTTGGTGATCGGATTCTGTAATATGTGCAAAACGTTTGGAGACCTTTTGAGCTAGTATTAAAGGGGTCATATGATCCCGCCTCAGCTCACTCTATCCCGGCCTCAGTGCACGCTAAGTCGGTGCTTCCCCTCAGGCTAGCCGTGTTTTTCTTTCCTTCACACACTTGAGGTATTCGGCCAATCATAACGCATTGGATAGCTGGCCAATCAGAGCACACCTCGCTTTTTCAGACCGATGAGCTTTGTACAAATCGACGCGTTTCAAAAAGGCGGGGCATAGAGGAGAAACAGTAATGTACAGTATGTGGAAAATAATGTTTTTTTTTACTTTAAACCGCATAAACACATTTCATTACACCAAATACACAAAATAATGTTCTTTTTAGCAGCATCATATGACCCCTTTTTAAGCATATTTAAACTTCAAATATTGTAGAATTTTGAAGGAAAATTGACTAATTAAGAACATTCAAGATTACCTTAGTCACTATGAAATCAAAATTGCCAATTCTTTTATGAAATACTGTTTATTTTAAATGATTTAGCCATGCAAATCTATTATTTTTTTTTTATTCATGTGCTCTAGTAATCTAATCAAAATGATTGCAATAATGCCAAATTCAAGTCTTGATCTACTTTTTTTTTTTTTTTCCCCTTGTTCAAGAAGCCGTTTCACTCGGATACAAGCCACATTGGGAAGTAAAATTAATTACAACAACTGTTTCTGTCAATGTAAAAATAAACTAAATATACTACTAAAAGACACCTACACTGGCACAAAAAGTAAAACTACTACTGTAATTGCTTAGTTACTGATTCATCAAATCAGTTGTGGCTCCTGATGAAATCTTTTGAGTAATTCTAAATCAGGTTGACGCCCAAGGCTGGCATGCAGCTGAGTCAAGACAATCAAGATACTGTACATAAACTCTGTCCATATAAGGTATGATGGGTCCAGTGTCATAACTATGTTTTCCAGGGCCCTGGATCTGTTTGTTACTGCAGGCCCCTGTTAAGGAAGATTTTGACCACCTTGTCAGGGGCCTTTACGTTTACTTTGATTTGAATAAATATGATTTGACTGGCTTTTTCCACACCAAAAGTAATTTACACCGGTATCACAGGTAGCTTCGGCGATTTATTAGTATAAAAGGAAAGAGCTTCCCTTCAGAGAAGCGTGACAGTGAATCACGTTATAGCTGTCTGTCCATGACAACGCGAAAACAAACAGTTTGGGTTTTCTCCTATCTTCAAAAACGTCTGAAAAAAGTCCTCCATTAGTTGCAATGTCGCCCCACAGCGGTAGAAAAGTGCACTGCACGTCGGGACTGTTCACCCCAAAATTATAGCCGTCATCATCATTTCTAATCACACTCATGTCGTTCTGAGCCAGTATTTCTTTTTTTTCCCCCGTGAAATGTCGGCTATTGTTTTATTTTATTTTTTCCATGAAATTGCAATGATTGGACTGAAGAGTTCAAGCTTCAAAAAGGACCCTAATTTATATTTATTTATAAAATAAATATTTTCCAAATAATACATGTTTTAGGATTCAGTACAGTTACATTTACAGTACCGTTCAAAAGTTTGGGGTGGGTACGTTTTTTTTTTAAATGCTTTTGAAAGAAGTTTCTTAAGAATAATTATTCTCATTATGGCTGCTTTTATTTGATCAAAATACTGTAAAAGTAATATTGTGAAATATTAATACAATTGTATTTAAAAAAAATATTGTGTTATATTTTAAAATGTATTTAATTTAATCCTGTGATGGCCAAGTTGAATTTTCAACAGCCATTACGCCAGTCTTCAGTGTCACGTGATGCTTCAGAAATCATTCTAATGATAGCCTGTACGATAATATATGATTAAAGTTATATGATTTGGCATTCGGGTAAGTTCTGCCACTTACTATTTTTGTGGAAACTTTGATACGTATTTTTCACAATTCTTTGATGAATAGAAGAAAAAAAAAACTATGTATTTGAAATGGAAATCTTTTGTAACAATGTAAAAGTATTTTCTGTAAATTTTGATCAGCTGAATGGGGCCTTTGCTGCCTAAAAGAAAAACAAAATATTTTTATTATTATTATTTTTTTTTTTTACAACATATTTCTTGCTTTTCTTCAAATTGTATTTGGGTCTTTATACATTAAAACATTTGTAAAAAAAAAAAAAAAAAGACGACGCTTTGAACACGCCTAGTCCCTGCGTGGCGAAGTGATGCGTCATGCGTGTCTCCTCCTCCAGCGCGACACGCCCAGCTCAGGAAAGCGCCTTTTTAACGTCCGGGGATCGTTTAAGGTAATTCAATTATGAGAATTTTTTATTTTTAAACATAAAAAATGTATATTTAGGCGACAAAATACACGAAACTATTGCATTACTATTGCTCACTCTTCTATCCTAAGTCATGCTAAATGCGCTGTTGAAGTTGTGTCAGTGGTTTCGCTTGCTAACGTTAGCTCGATCTAAGAAATCCCTTTCTCTGACCTTTTGTTCGCCTGAAAAACGCGTTTGTGGTCCTTTTCTCCCGAATGCCCTGACAGAAGATGCCATGTTCGCTTGATCTTTGCGTAGGACGTGTCTTTTGTCCAGAGTAACGTTACCTCAAAGTTTACAGCTGTTGCAGGCTGCACATGTGTGACATTCAGCCCCAGATGTTATAGCAGTCTGACACTGAAGTACGTTTATTCATATGCAGTGCTGGTTGTTGTATCTCTCTATGAGAGATTGATTTTGTTCTTTCAGACTCTCTTTAGAGATAAAATAATCTTGTTTTACGTTACGTTTCTCAGTCAACCAGTAGGCCTACTAGTTACCTACATGCTAGAACATTATTATGAGTCATCAGTTTTAAATCTAAAACCTTTACATAAATCCTGTTGTTGCAGATATGTCCTCATTAAGTGGAAAGTCTGATAAGGAGATCAGTCAGCTGCTGGATGAATATGGCATTAAACATGGACCCATAGTAGGTATGTGATAAGCCTTTAGCCTTTTAGAGTAAGTTGTAACATGATAGTCATAAAAAATAATAATATAAATATAAAAAATGATGTAAAAAGGATTTTTTTTTCTTTCATTTTTTTATTCATTAAATTTAACACTAGCTCAGGAAAGCATGTTAGAGCATGTTTTTTTATCAATGATTCTGTGGAAAGTTGTGCTGTGATTTGGTGGCGGTTTTGTTTTTGCAGAATCCACACGGAAGCTCTATGAAAAGAAACTGAATGATGCCATGACCAAAAAAGCTAAGCCTTCCTCGTCTGACAAGACATACTACCGAGAAGAACGTAAGGCTTCTCTTTAAAAAAAAAAAAAAAAAAAAAAAAAAGAGGCAGGCTTTGACATTCCCCATATTTAAGGTGTAGAATTACACTTGTAAAATTTGCTTTTGTTTTCATAGAGGAGGAAGTGGAATATATTAGCTATCATCAGCCCGTAAGTAAAAACTGAACTTAACTTGAAGGATAACTGCTCTATTATTATTATTATTATTAAGCCATTTTTCAAATTCGGCAGCCACAACTGAGCATATACGATGGATCTGGTGATGTGTAAGTAGCTTATTTCATTTTCCTGACCATGTTAAGGGGTTTCTGCAGGTCTTAAAAAGTCTTAATTTGCCCTTGCGCAATTTAAGGCATTAAAAATGTCTTGAATCAGAGCAGAAAGTCTTAAATTCATAAAATCATGGTATGAAATTTTGCATGCATTGCAAAAAATAAATACCTTTCTCAGTATTTTTATTTCCCAATACAAATAATCTAAACATTCTCAAATCAGGATACATCAAAGTCTTGACAAACTGAACAAAATTAAGTGGGTTTATGCTTAAAACAAGAAGAAATACAGTATCTGTCAAAAGGATATGAAAACTTTTTCCATATTCTGTTTTTGTAAAATTAATGGAAGTTGTATTTTCAAACTTTGAAGTTATACAACATTTTGACAGAAAATAAACCCACAGAAAATCTGATGTTAAGCAGTAATCTGAAATCATAACATCTATCAAAACGTCTAGCTGAGTTCACAAATATACTTATATGCTTACAGTTATTGTATATGTGTGATCTCTCCCCAGCACAAGGAGGTCAAAGGTCACCGGTGCCGATTTTGCCCACGAGTGAGATTCAGTTGTTCCTTTTTCATCTCATTTTTTAGCTTACAAGTGGTTTCCACCTAAATGCTAACTGGATATATGGCATCTCTCCACAGCATACGGAGGTCAAAGCTGACTGATTACAGAGATGAAGACATAGGCTATAACAATGCGTGAGTTTTTGTTTGAAATATTATTTAAGTGGTTTTCTTCTTATTTTCATCTTCTCCTAAAATATGTTACTAGAATTTGTGTGTAATACTGTAATGTAATAACCTCACTTGAAAACAGGGTTTCCGCGGGGTCTTAAAAAGTCTTAAATTTAGTTGTATCAAATTTAAGGCCTTAAAAAGTCTTAAATTGTACAAGAAAGTCTTAATTATGATTCGTAATTGTTGTTTTAACGATGTGCGATTTGATATTATCGAGTACATCGCGAAAAGCAAACACAAAACCTACAGAGTTTACGCATACATTAGGTGATGAAGTCTAGTAGGTTAGACTAGTGTGCGTGCACATTTAGAGTGCGTTCTTTCACTGCATGAATCAGTCTATTAAAA